GGGGGGGAGGGGCTAAAGCCTCCAAGCCCCCCACCCCCGGCTACATGCCTGTTCCCATTGAAATACAATGGGACCTTCTACTTTAGAGCATTTTTTGCTTCTGTGCATGGTTTTGCTTTGACATACAAGCAGTGTTTTGAGTTAAGAGCGAGCACCTGAGGCTGCACTAGTACCAGAGTACAAGGTTTTAGGGCTTCAAGGGAGCAGACACTGTGCCTCCTGATCTTGTCCGCTTTGGGAGATTGCTGTCTACGTTGCTCTTGTCCACTTTGAGGAACTTTGGGTTAGTTGATCTTGTGTGGTTTTTATTCCTGGCATATTTGGCTTCATTAAGGGAGAGAGGGAGAAAGAAGGAGGCAGGCTGGAATAAATACAGTATGAAGAAAATCATACTTCTGCCTCTTCACTTTGTGTGGTGTGCTTCCTTGCCACAACTTTATGCTTTATAAAGTTGATCTTCTTCTTCTTCTTTGGGTTAGTTGATCTTGTGTGGTTTTTATTCCTGGTATATTTGGCTTCATGGAGGGAGAGAGGGAGAAAGAAGGAGGCAGGCTGGAATGAATACAGTATGAAGAAAATCATGCTTCTGCCTCTTCACTTTGTGTGGTGTGCTTCCTTGCCACAACTTTATGCTTTATGAAGTTGATCTTCTTCTTCTTCTTCTTCTTCTTCTTCTTCTTCTTCTTCTTCTTCTTCTTCTTCTTTGGGTTAGTTGATCTTGTGTGGTTTTTATTCCTGGTATATTTGGCTTCATGGAGGGAGAGAGGGAGAAAGAAGGAGGCAGGCTGGAATGAATACAGTATGAAGAAAATCATGCTTCTGCCTCTTCACTTTGTGCGGTGTGCTTCCTTGCCACAACTTTATGCTTTATAAAGTTGATCTTCTTCACTTTGATTGTAAGTGAACTATAAATCCTAGTAACTACAAATCCCAAATGTCAAGGTCTATTTCCCTTAAACTCGATCTGTGTTCATATTTGGGCATATGGAATATTCGTGCCAAGTTTGGTCCAGAGCCATCATTGTTTGAATCCACAGTGCTCTCTGGATGTGGATGAACTATAATTCCCAAACTCAAGGTCAATGTCCACCAAACCTTTCCATTTTTTTCTGTTGGTCATGGGAGCCCTGTGTGCTAAGTTTGGCCCAATTCCATCATTGGTGGAGTTCAGAATGCTCTTTGATTGTAGGTGAAGTATAAATCCCAGCAACAATAATTCCCAAATGACAAAATCAATTTTTTTTTAGTGGAGGACATACATTGGACTGTTAGGTGTCTTGTGTCCAAATTTGGTGTCAATTCCCCCAGTGGTTTTTGAGTTCTGATGGTATCACGAACTAACATTACATTTTTATTTATATAGATTTATTCTTCTTCTTTAAAAGTCTGTCTGAGGGACAGCCACCAAGAAGGCCTTTTCTCATGTCCCCACCAACTGTGCTTACGATGGAGGTGGGACTGAGAGAAGGGCCTCTCCTGAGGATCTCAGGGCCCTGACAAGGTGGTACAGGGAGGTGTAATCAGCCAAATAGTCAAGCAAACATGAATATTAACATTTTAAAGAAATACAAAAGAATAGCCTGCAAAGTCAATTCCATTTCTTTTCCAGAAAGAGGAGCTCTATAAGCTACTGGCAGCAAAACAAACCAAAAGCCACAGATTAAACTCAGCAGCTCAACACATCTATTTTCTGTTTTATATCCCATCCCAGTTCTTGTCAGAATCTACTCCTTTCATTTTTATTTCCTTTTAGAGCATTCTTTCTTTTTTCGTTGTGTCTGCAAGTTCTGTCTGGTGCGAGAGAATTGGCCGTCTGTGGTAAAATTTCAGCCTCTATTTTGGGCTCACAACTCCCAAAATCCCCAGTTGGAATTCCAGTAGCACTCCCATGCATTGCTCAATGATCTATATGTGCTGAGAAACTACTGAAAGAGCAATGTTGGCTTTTGAAAGGCAAGAGAGCCAGCCCACATGACCTTGGAGGTGTCTGTGGACAACGCTGGCTCTTCTGCTAAGAAATGGAGATGAGCACCAACCGCCAGAGTCGGACATGACTGGACTTAATGTCAGTGGAAAACCTTTACCTTTAAAGAGCATAAGCACTATGCAGGATCAAACCAAAGGTCTAGCTAGCTCAATATCAAGAAGATGCATGTGGGAAATACACGGGAGCAAGAACATGAAGGTATTATCAAACATGACCACCCCACCCTGCTAAAAAGAGAGACATAGTCCTACTATCACGGGAATCATAGTTTCCCAAGGATGCGAGGCCAGGACGAACTACATTGGCCTCCATCCCTCAAATCCCCCTCGACCATAACCGGACCAACAGTAAACCTCCCACCCCATTAAACCCTTCTCCCCATGCACACACACATCCTGGCTCAGCTGTTCAGCTTAAACCAGTCCACATCAGCGAACATCCAGAACTCCGCTGGAGATTGCTCCAGGCCTCCACTCACTTCTATTGCAACAAAGTTAAAACCCAGCTCATAGCTAGCTAGTTACAGTGTTATTGCTCCAACTTTATTCTCCATCTTCATCGCTATGATACTTCACCTTGTTGATGGGAAGCTTCTATTGGACAGATAGAAGTGGAAATCATCTATCGGACAGATGGCAAGCTGTTTAACCTCAGCAGACTGAAAGCCAAAACCAAGGTTACAACAACTTCTGTTATAGAACTCCGCTGGAGACAACATTGCTGATGACAATGTTGTCTGTGCTCATTCAGAAGAAGATCTACAAGCCACTCTAAACACAGAAGCATACGAGAAGTTTGGCCTGTCATTGAACATCAAGAAAACCAAAGTGCTGTTCCAGCAGTCACCAGCCAACCCCTCTCTCTTCCAGAGATACAGCTTAATGGTGTAACATTAGAAAATGTGGACAATTTCCGCTACCTTGGCAGCCACCTCCCCACCAAAGTCAACATCGATGCCGAAATACAACACCGCCTGAGCTCTGCGAGTGCAGCATTATTCCGAATGAAGCAGAGAGTGTTTAAGGTCCGGGACATCCGTAGGGATACCAAGGTGCTTGTCTATAAAGCTATTGTCCTCCCAACCTGCTATATGCCTGCAAAACGTGGACTGTCTATAGACTTCACATAGAATCATAGAATCATAGAATCATAGAATCAAGGAGTTGGAAGAGACCTCATGGGCCATCCAGTCCAACCCCCTGCCAAGAAGCAGGAATATTGCATTCAAATCACCCCTGACAAATGGCCATCCAGCCTCTGCTTAAAAGCTTCCAAAGAAGGAGCCTCCACCACACTCCGGGGCAGAGAGTTCCACTGCTGAATGGCTCTCACAGTCAGGAAGTTCTTCCTAATGTCACATGCAACTCCTGGAACGATTCCATCAGCGCTGCCTCCGGAAAATCCTGCAAATGTCTTGGGAAGGCAAGCGGACAAACGTCAGCGTGCTGGAAGAAGCAAAGACCACCAACATTGTAGCGATGGTCCTCCACCATCAACTCCACTGGACCGGCCACGTTGTCCGGATGCCCGACCACTGTCTCCCAAAGCCGTTGCTCCATAACTAGACTATTTCCTATACAAAATTTCTTTCTTTCTTTTTTTCCCTTTCCTTTTTCCCTTATGCCAATGTATGCACGAGCACAGAGTAATAAATTACAACAAATAAATAAAATAACCTTTCCTGTCCTACATGCAGCCAAGATAAAACCCCTCTTTCCTCATTCTTATATACATGATCTTATACTAAAACATGACATGAACTCTAATTTTATATTATTTTATTATTTTTGAACTATATTAAATAGAGCAGGATGAACTCTAATCACCTCTTGAGCAATCTCAGCCATTCTAGGAATTCATTCCACACCCTGTGTAGGAAACGGGGACGAGACCATACTCTGTTGAACAAGGAGCCTTCCTGTCACCCAAAATATCCCCACAGTGGATCTTAGTTATCCACTGGACAAAGACCCAGGAAGGGACTCTGATGGCACACTCATCTCCACTAGACATTTCTGGGACTTTTTCTTTGTCTTTGCTGCAAAGGAAGATGTCTGGGGAACCCAACACTCATTGCCCTTACATCCAGGACCCGGTATCTCCATAATCCTGTCATTCATCTTTCTCGACCCTCATTGTTCTCAGCATTCTGTTGCTACACATCCACTACACTGGACTCTGCCCCCTGGAGACCTCCTCGCTCCAGGAACCACCTACTTTGACCTATTAGCGGCCCCAGGGCTTCCCTGCCTGGCTGGAAAGGGATTCCCTGCCGCGTCATTGCTGCCTCCACCAATCAGTGTACACATCAACTAGAACCTGCCTCTCAACCAATTAGAGATCTGGGAAATGCCAG